AACGTGGAGGGTCAGAGAAAAAGAGGCACCTAACAACAACAAGTATATTTCCAAATAAGAGATGAGACATGATTGGACTCCCAAGTGGTGGATCCAGTGTTCTATAGAGTAAGAATCTGAAGCAAAGAGGTGATACAGAACAGATGTTGTTGTTGTTGTTAGGTGCTGAGTCGGTACCGACTCATAGCGACCCTATGCACAACAGAACAAAATATTGTCTAGTGCTGGGCCAACCTCACTCTTGTTGCCACACTTGAACCCATTGATGCTGCCATATTGCCAATCCATCTCGCTGGGCGTCTTCCTCTTTTTTCTGACCCTTTACCTTTCCAAACATGATATCCTTCTCCAGGGACTGGTGTCTCCTGACAGTATGTCTGAAGTATGAGAGACAAAGATAGTTACTTTCAAATGTGCGGTTACTGATTAGTGTTCTTTAGCGGTGAAGAATTTCCCAATTAAACATTTTCTAAGAAAAGATAATGCCCTCTTTTCTATTGTGAACACACCAATGGAATCATGATGATTCAAAGATAACAGTATCTTCAAGAAAACATGTAAGACCAAGAAATTATATCTGAAGAGAAGTAAAGCGATTCTCTGGGAAACTAAAAGGGGAACGTATTATTACCTAACATGCTCAGATACTGAATTTCTTTCTCATTACTTAATGCTTGGAGGCAGAGGCCTGGTGGGACGCTGTTCAATAAGCAGTAGAATGCTTAACCGCAAGGTCAGAAGTTGAAACCCAGAGTCGGCTCCTCAGAAACCCTATACAGACTAACTTACAAGGCTATTGGCATTACTAACTATGCACATTCTTCCCCCTTCCCAATGACAGAACGGGAAGTAAAAAACAAACTACTCCACAGTAGGAGAAGAGGTGGGGGTGGCGTGGGCAAAATTCTCAACTTCACTTTCTGGGAATGACTGAAAAATGGCACTTTGGTTTTGACACAATAATCAGCAGGAAGTAGGAAAACCAGAAAAGTGGGGAAGGCTCTTCTTTTAGTAAGTGCCAGGGGTTTATATATGTCTTTGCTCTTCTTTTTCTTCCAATAAAATGTTCCTCACAACACGAACATGCAAAAATGACTATCATGTGAAATCATGATTAGAAGGTTAATAGAAACGAGAACAGCACAGGGTTACCAGAGTGTGCCTCAGGAGTCCTGTACTTTATGCAGTTGTTACGTGCCTTTTGAGTTGGTCCTGAACCTATACAGGGTTTCCAAGGAGGATCTGAACTGTCGGCCTTGAGGTTAACACTCCAGTGCTTATCCTACAATTATGCATGCTTTTAGTGGTTATATCAGGCTGTTAGTCCCAAAATCAGCAGTTCTTCGCGGGAGAAAAAAACAAGGCTTTCTGTTCCCGTAAAGATTTCCAGCCTTGGAAACCCTAGGGTCGCTATGTGTGGGAACTGACACCACAGCACATACCAACACCACCACATAGCTTTTAGTTACTATGCTATCCAATGTCCTATAGAGTTGTACCAAAAAATGAAATTCAAGTTTGTATTTGAAAAATCAAGCTAAGGTTTTACTATCAAATCCTTATGTATACCTGCACTGGTTGCTAAACTGTATCCCGCTTAAAATATCCCCTGACTGTCTTCTCAAAATCAAATTGTTTAACTTATGTAGTAAAGAATGTCTGTCTTGACCATTGAGTTCTTTTAAGATTTATCTCTATGGGATCAAAGTGACAAGCAGAATTCCAAAAAGGAGGGTGAAAATGGTCGTACAATTGAGTTGTACAAGAAGAAATTGTTGAATTAGTGAATTTCTGCTGTGTATGTTCTCAACAACAAATGTATATATATATATATATATATATATTTTTTTTTTTTTTTTTTAAAGTACATGTAACATGCATCTGTCAAGAGTGGAAAATACCACAACACAATGACCACGTGTAAGGCTGCAAGATGAGTATATAATGGGAGTTGTAATTGGTGATTTCTGGAACGTTTGGTAACACAAGTAAAAATCAAATTTCCTTAGAAATTCTTGGCATGTGTTTTCTTTTTACAAAGGTCAACACAAAACTAGCGTGTGCTAAATAAACAGGGCAAGTTCTATCCCGTTATTTCCAGTAACATATTCGCAAGACAATACTTTCAGCAACAGCTGGCAAAAGGGTACCTGGGTGGAAAATCTCTGTCATTTTTTGTAATACACATTACACCTAGAAGAATTCAGAGCATAAAGTTTAACAGACTTAAATAAGGTTATTCTCATCTTTCAAAGGGATTTCACATTTCTCACACTTTTTTATGTATTCCTCTCTCCCAAAACAACTCAAAACAAGCAAGGAAAAATGATGGTTTTCACCATTTCAAAAGTAGTTGATACATTTCAAACTAAATAGGGAAAGAGTACGGATGTTTATAAAAGCAATATTGCAATAAGTACTTGCAAAAGTAAGTCCAGTCTCCAAGCCACATTCCTTCTCAACAGTAGCCTCTCCTACTTACTCTCAGTCCTCAGGCTGCGAAGGTAGTTTTTACCTGTTAATATTTTACATCAATTACCTATTGAAAACGCCCAGGGAAAAGGGAGCCAAAGGAGGGAGGCTTTTCGCTGACTCAGGGAGCAAACGTGACTGTGAATTTCACAAATAATAGCTTCAAATAGGAAAACGACCCCTCCTGGCCAATTTCCAAGTCAAAGTTCCACCACGTAACTCGGGCGTGGACCTTGTTTCAAGCAAATACGTTACGTCACTACGAGCACAGTAATTTCCCTCTTTACATTTTATGCATGCTGGAAATACCACTCAAACCGAAAATGTAGTAAAACAAAACAAAAGGAAAGGCAGACGAGGCGTGGAGGGTTCTGCTGCAGTTTAAGGCACGCCAAATCCCGGGTGGCCCGAGCGTCTGCGGGGTCCCCGCCGGCCCCGGCCCCCAGGGGCCCGCGCTCGGCCACGGTGGCCCGGATGCGCCCCTCGGGTTCCCGCCCCCGAAACGCAGCGCGGAGGGGTAGGGGGCGCCCGGAAACCACCCCAACTCTGGAGAGGGGCGATGGCACCGGGAACTTCCAAGCTGCGGGAACTTTCCGGCCTGGCCGGCGCCGCACTCAGGTGCAAACTTGGCACCGGACGCCGCGCGGGACGTCCCCGTCGGCCGGACCCCCTCGTAAGCCTCGGGGTCGCCCCTCTTGTCGGTCACACCAAGAGCGAGCCTCGGGTCGCCCTGCGAACGCACGACCCCGCTACCACCCACCCCGTCGGGGCCGGCTGGGCCCGAGTCCCCTCGGAGGACGCGGCGTGGCCCCTCCGCCTCCCCGGGGGCGAGCCTCCCTCGCCCCGCGGCGC